AGTTGACCTAGTTTGACTTTTAAGTATTTGACCTCAGATCAGAGTTTTGATGGTTCCGTTAGGTACGAATGGTTATTTTGGACTTAGGCCTATGCCCGGATTTGCGTTTGGATATTTCCATAAGGTTTCGGCACTAATTGGCGAAAGTTGGAAATTTAAAAGTTTAAAATATTCATAGGTGTGACCGGGAGTTGACTTTGATGATATCGGGTTCAGATTGTAGTTCCGAGAATTGGAATGGCTTCGTTACGTTAGTTGGTACTAGTGTGCAAAATTTGAGTTCAATCCGGGTTGAATTGATATGGTTCGGCACAAGTTTTGGAAGTTAAAAGTTCAAAAGTTCATTAACTTCGATTTGAGATGTGATTCGTAGTTTTTATGTTGTTATACGTGATTTGAGGCCTCGAATAGGTCTGTGTTATTTTATGGGACTTGTTGGTATGTTCGGTCGGGGTCCCGAGGGGCTCGAGGAAGTTTCAGATGAGTTTCGGATCATTTCCAGGTTCTTTGGCACTGCTGATTTTTGGGCATTTGGTTTCCTTGTTCACGATCGCGGAGAGTGGATCACGATCATGATCACGTAGAGTTGTTTGATGGCTGGGAAAATTGTTCATCGCGTTCACGAGTCCAGAGACGCGTTCGCAAAGGTTGAGGCAATTGTTTATCGCGTTCGCGGGTCCTGCGAGGGGTTCGCATAGAAGGAAGGAGGGCCTGAGAATCTTATGTGTTTTTTCTTCGCGGTCACGAAATGTGGAATGCAATCGCATAGCTCTAGGGGGGATTGCCCACCGTGTTCGTGATCGAGATGTCACATTCACGTAAGAGGAATTGCAGCTGGTGGGATTGTTCTTCACGAAGTGTAATAACTGGGCAGACGCTATTAAATCTCATTTCGCGGGTTAGAGTCATTTTATCATATTTGGAGCTATGGGGATCGAATTGAGGCAATTTTTACCAAATCGATTGGGTTAAGTGTTCTCTACTAGGTTTTGATTATATTTCATGAACCTATCTTCGTTTTTGGCATTTGGATTATGAATTTCAAAGAGACATTTTGGGGGTTCTATCTAAAATTTCATAAAGTGAAGTTTTGAGTTTTGAACATCGATTTTGAGTCAGATTTGAGTGAAACTAGTATGGTTGGACTCGTAATCGAATAGGTTGTCGGATTTTATGAATTTTGTTGGGTTCCGAGGTGCGGGCTCGGGTGTGGCTTTTTGGTTGACTTTGAGTAAATGTGTAAAGATTCGGCCTTTATCATTTGGGATTGTTTCCTTAGGCATTATTTGATATATTTGAGTTGCTTATAGCTAGTTTCGAGCCGTTCGGAGGTTGATACGTGCGGGATGGCATTTTTAGAGTATTGTTTGGCTTGCTCGGTATTGGATTCGACTTGTTCGAGGTAAGTAACAATTCTAAACTTGGTACTGATGGTATGAATTCCTGAATATACGTGTTATGTGTTGGTGTTGAGGTGACGCATATGCTAGATGACGGGCGTGTGGGCGGGCACCGTATGAATTATGACTCGATTGATTCTGTGGTACTGTGTAGTTACCTAATATTATTTCTATCCATGAAATTCCTACGTGATAGAGTAGTTGAGCTGATAAATTGCAATTACCTACTCAGTCATATTCATTCATTTGCATATCATATCTCAATCTCTATTATTATTATTTTCACATTATGTTATCATTGTTTGGGCTGATTGGCATGAGATTTGAGAGCACGACAGACTAGAGAGATTAATGACTGAGCTGAGGTCGAGGGCCTGATTGTGAGTAATATTGATGGGATCGGATTGCACATCGCAGCGAGTTTTATTGATTCATGATGGGATCGGGTTGCATGTCGCTGCGGGTTTTATTGATTCATGATGGGATCGAGTTGCACGCCGCAACAGATTTTATTAGCGCTTGGGCAGGATTCGCCCATCTTTAGTCTAACATACCAACAGTGAGTGCAGGTACCGTACAGTGCCGAGTGACTGAGTGTGTTGAGTGATTGAGCGTGGTAAATGGGAGTTCGAGACAGTGAGATTGAGTGCTCTGAGAGTGTGAGTACATGAGTTCATCACTATGATGCATTGCATTTGACATGCATACTTGACATACAAGCATAGAGATGCATTTCCTCATGCTACACGATTTTGTGACATTCATGATTTCACATGCACATTTACATGTAGGCATAGAGATGTACTTTTCTCATGCTATCGGAGAATGAAATATCTTATCTGTTGTTGAATATTTTTGGGAAAAATCATAGTTTTCTGATTTACTCATATTTTGGTGATTTCGGTGAAAGATTTGGGTTCTACTGTTATACCTGAAAAGTATGCCTATTTTCCGTAATTATGAACGAAGGTCTGAAAAAGTATCTAAAAATATAAAATTTAGATATTTGTACCCTGTCGAAGTAAGGAACCATATGAGCATCATATCTTTGAGTGATTATTTGTGATGCTTTTATTATATTGTTATGAGTTGTTCTTGGCAATTGGTGTTGGACTATGACTGTTGTCTAAGCTCATCACTACTTTCAACCTAAGGTTAAGTTTGTTACTTATTGAGTACATGGGGTCGGTTGTACTCATACTACACTTTCACCATTGTGTGTAGATTTTGGAGTCGATGTTGCTGCGAGTGGCAGGAGCTGGCATTGAAGATGTACCTGCATTCTAGTTATAACTGCCTCTTGTTCTTGGTATCTTTAGATTTATAAATTTGTTCATGTACGTTTCGAACAGATGATGTATTTATTTTATACCAGCTTTGTAAACTCTAAATCTTAGAAGCTCATAATTTGTACTACCTGTCCTTGGGGAATTGTATAAATTCAGTTATTTCATTTTTGACTCTTATCATTATCATTATACTGTGGTTTATTGTTAATTGACTTACCTAGCGGGTTGGGTTAGGTTCCATCGCGACTTAGTTAAATTTTGGATTGTGATAGCTTCGCTCGGGTCGGATAGTGTGTCGGGTGCCGGTCACGTAGATTTGGGTCGTGACACCGCCGCTACTACAGCGGTAGTCGCCGGAGCTGTGGTGGTAAGGCAACTGGGAAACAAATGGACGACAACAAAACTATGCAACACCAGAGTCTTTAATTTTCCGGCCGGCAATTCTGACCAGCGTGGAGTTGTCCGACGGCCAGTAGTGGTGAGGGAAGTTGGGCAGTTGTGGGTGTGAAATGAGAGGAGAATTGAGGATCCGTGATTTTGAGGGGTTATTTGGGTGGATTCTAATAGAGGAAAACACTTACAACGGGGAAGATGACTAAAAGTAGGGTTGGGTTAGAGGTGAGATGTGTTGGAGAGGGGATCCTTTGACTTTTGTTTCTTCATTTTTCAAGAAAAAATATTAATTAGGATGGAAATTAAGTATTTTATAATTTTTTTGAGTTATAACACGTGTCATCACCTTATTGGAGTGTGCTATCACACAAATTTTGACAAATTGGTCAAGGAAAAAGTGATATCTTAGCTACACTTAGAAAATACTGAGTGTGTAAGGTGATTTTCGTCGTCAAAAGTATGTAACAGGGATATGGTCTATAATTGAGGGGGTAACTTATGTATTTTGCTTTGAAAAATATTATAATTCATATTAATTAAAGGTTACTTTTGATATTTTAAAAACACATGTAATGATCTAGCTAATTTAAGAACAGCGAGGTTTATTGTCCCAATCAAAAGGTTAAGAAGGTATTGTTTTCCAAATAAGTTAAGAAGGTTTAGTGAATTTACTCTAATAGTATATCGAAATTAAAGCAAGCAACTACTCTGCCTAGTCTATCTCCAGGCCGGACTCTAGCTTGACCCTATTTTCTACTGTCGTATTGTTGGTTGTAAGGCTTGCAATTATGTCCTTTATTTGTTTGACTATAAAAAAAGTTATCAATGCAGATAAATAAGAAACATTTCAAAAAAGTATGTTACCCTGTTATTTGTGGCCTAAAGTAACAGATTCTCTTGAAGTCTTAACCATACATACGATTATGTAACAGATAATGTTGATTGAAAATATGAACTAATATTATGTTGATTTGACTCGCTAACTAACATCACATATCATGCCAACTAAAGCACTTTACTAATGTACCAACTAAAGCACATTACTAATGTAGCATTTTCAAGATCACAAATAGTACTAAAAGAAGAGTGGAGAAACTTGTAGTAAATTTCCAGGATACTATTGTAAACACCCCCACCAGAGTACAAAATAGCAAAACATGGAAAAAGGAGAAAGTACCCTTCCAAAAAGATAATTATAGGTTGTTATCTGTATACATTGGAGGGTCATAATTTCCAAAACTGTGAAACGAATATATTAAATTCTTCAAATAAGGCTCCAATTTTTAATATTCACAAGAAAAGTAGTGTCTTTAGAAAAAACCAAAACATGGTTGTAAAAAAATAGGAAGTTGGAAAAAACTCCAAATTTATTCTTATGCTATTTGAAATTAAGCAATTTTGTCCCTGTTAAAATTTTGATCTTATGTTACCCTGCTAGTTAGTAAAACGTCTCATGTTTGCCTCACTCGTTAGGGCTCAAGGACAAAATTGAAACTTCTTCCTAATGACAAGGATTATATTGGACTAAAAGTTTAACGGAGACAAAATCTATTAACACATCGCACGTTAGACACCCAATATGTTAATTAAAGCATTTGACATACATAGACGGATTCAGGATTTAAATTATATGGGTTCAGTTTCGTAATTCTACCACATCTCATCTAATTTAATGGGTTTAAAATTTATTATTTATATATATTTAATAATTTTTGGGATAAAAATATAAGGTATAAGCGAAAGTCCATAGTTTCTACCCAAATACGCCTCTGCCGACATATATACAATTAAGATCACATGGTTTCGAACAACTTAAACACGTTTTACTATTTAATCTAGAAGAAGCATTTATGTCCCTATTCAATTCGCTTTTTTCTTAATGTCATACCTTGAATCCTATAAATGTAAGTCTTATATTAGATTCCTCACATATGCATAATAAACAACTAAAAACTCCTAGCAAGTCCCATAGCAATATGACAACTCAAAAGAAGATCAATGCGGTGGACCATTTGGAGCGGCAATTGGAAGACAAAGTGGTTTTTGTCACCGGAGCATCGGTGGGGCTCGGCCGCGAATTCTGCCTTGACCTAGCTAGGTCAGGCTGTAAAGTCGTGGCAGCCGCTCGTCGCACCGATCGGTTGAAGTCCCTTTGTGATGAGATTAATGCAATGGCTAGTTCAAATGTTGAAGTTGTTAGAGCTGTAGCTGTTGTACTTAATGTTACTGCTGATGGTCCACTCATTAAAGCATCGGTACAGAAAGCTTGGGATGCTTTTGGCCACATTGATGTGCTCATTAATAATGCTGGTGTTAGAGGTACGTAGGTTACGTCTAATTTTGCCTGTACGTAATTTTGGTTACCAAAACATAAGTTTTGATAGGATAGAGGATTGATTAAAATAAAAGGGCAGTCTAGTGCACTAAGCTTCCGCTATACGTGGAGTGCAGGAAGGGCCGGACCACAAGGATCATTTGTACGCAGTTTTACCCTTCATTTTTGCAAGAGACTATTTTCACAACTCGAACATGTGACCTCTTGGTCACATGACATCAACAGATACTATGAAGATATATATGCCTTTAAAGAAAAATAGAAGTATTTTTAAGCAATAAATTCACTTATCCGAGGAACTTCTTTTTGGAATTTGTACTTGAGTCGAGGGTCTACCGAAAACAACCTATTTATCTTTAAAAGGTAGGGGTAAAGTCCGCATATATATATATAACCCTCCCAAGACCGTGGAATTGCATTGGGTTTAATGGCGTTGTTGTTGCTGTAGTATTTGAGAGAAAATGTCAGGCTATTAAGTCAGTTCCTTAGTCCTTTTTAGCCAATAGTGAACGTTATGTAAGTATATAGAGGATATTGGGCAAACAAGCCCTTAACTCTTGAACAATGAAAGAGCGACCTTGACTAGGCTAGAGATAATTAAGTAATCTGGGACCTAATTAAAATTAAAAAGATTAATGATACATAATTGAGATTGGTTAAAGGTTGTTTAATAATTCAAATAATGAATAAATAAATTTCAATTGAAATAAAATCTTTAGGATCAATTCAGGAGGAATTAATGGGTAAAAACGAGTACTCCGTATTCTTTTTAACTTTTAGATAATCTATACTATTTGAGCCGAGGGTCTTTCGAAAACAGTCTCTCTACCCAGGGGCGGAGCTAGAGAGCGAGTTACGAGTTCGGCTGAATCACATAGCTTTGGTTCAAACTCAGTATTTATTTGATGAAATTCATTAAACGTATACAAATTATTAGTTTAGAACCCAATAACTTAAAAATGATTAGAATCCCGAACCCATAAGCTTCAAATCCTAGCTCTGCCTCTGTCTCTACCTTCCCATGGTAGGGGTAAGGTATGTGTACACATTACCCTCTCAACACCTCACTCGAGGAACTTTTAGATAATCTATGCTATTGTCCCAAAAAGAATGATGGAATTTCTTAGGCTGCTTGACTCCATAATTTGATGAATCTACTTTTGATGTTTAATTATAGGTGAAATAAAATCAGCAGTGGATATTTCTGAGGAAGAGTGGCATAACACTTTAAGGACAAATTTGACAGGATCTTGGCTAGTTTCCAAATATGTTGGAAAACACATGCAAGCTGCAAAACGAGGAGGCTCTATTATTAATATTTCATCTATTGCTGGTTTAAATAGAATATCAGTACGAGGGGGTATTGCCTATTCTTCCTCCAAGGCTGCCATGGATAGCATGACCAAGGTTATAATCTAATTTTTGGAATGATGCACTGTCCTTTTGAGTGCTGTAAAAATAGTGCATGTTGGTTGCTAGAAAATATAGTAGCTTTTTCAATCAAAAGGGGAAATAACTTCCCTCACTTATTAGCGAAAGTCATTTTCCCTAACATTATCTTACGTGTTAGCTTTCATATATCACTATTTTACCCAATACATGAACATTATTATTTACTTACTACTCAAAAATTTGTTCAAACACTATCTAATTTGCTATAATATTATTATTATCATTCTTTAGTAAATAATTTTTAAGAAAATAGTTTCAGCTCTCCGATCAAACACCTAAATACATTTCCTTAAAAATGAAGTCCGTCATACCAAAACACACCCCTAATCCTTTATTTTATGAAATGGGAAAGATGAAATCATAGTAACTCTTTATGAATTTTAATTTCTCAATCGCATTTGGTTCCTTTTAAGATTTCTCTCAGCTTTCTCTATTAGCATCCCTCGCTTCTAATTAATTTCTTTTTAAAAAAATATATTTTTCCTAATCAAGTGTTTCTTGCTTTTCTTTTTTTTATACATTAACATTTTGATATATCTATACGCAAACTAACCTGGAAAAATCTAAATTGTTCTCTATATATTAATGAAAATTTGCAGGTAATGGCATTGGAATTGGGAGAACATAACGTAAGAGTGAATGCAATAGCTCCAGGAATTTTCAAATCGGAGATTACTGAGAAATTATTGCAAAAAGATTGGCTAAAAAATGTAGCAACAAGAAGTGTTCCACAGAAAACTTTTGGAACCACAAATCCTGCTTTAACTTCACTTGTGAGATACTTGGTCCATGACTCTTCCAATTACATATCTGGCAACATATTTATTGTTGATTCTGGTTATACCCTTCCTGGTATCCCTATCTTTTCTTCTCTGTAAGTTATACTCAAAGGTGGAGCCAGAATTTGACGTTTATGGGTTCTTAATTCGTAACCAAACTCAGCACGTCTCAGTTATTGGGTTTGTAGTTAAATATTTATATATTTTTAATAAATTTTCTAATATAAATAAGAGTGCTACCCCCACTAAGAGGTTGACAAGAGTGGGTTGCTCTAGTGGTGAGTACCCTCCACTTCCAACCAAGAGGTTGTGAGTTTAAGTCACCCCAAGAGCAAAATAGGGAGTTCATGGAGGGAGGGAACTGAGGGTCTATCGAAACAATCTCTCTACCCCAGGGTAGGGGTAAGGTTTGCGTACACAGTACTACCCTCCCCAGACCCCACTAGTAGAATTATACTGAATTGTTATTGTTGTTGTTGTTGTAAATAAGAGTGCTACTGAGTTTGTTTGAACCCGTAAGCAATACTCTACGACACTACCTCCGCCCCTCGCTATGACACTTGAAAGAACAATATATTATCATCAAGAAACTAATATCTTTGTACGTAGTTATCTATTTCAAAGAAATTATTATGATCTATTTCCTTCCATTTTTTGTCTTTTGTTTTCATTCGTTAGGAAATGTGATGCATGTATAATATGAATTTTTTAATACAAAAATAAAATGTTAATGAGTTCGTTTGAACCAGTAAGCAATAATCTATATATGGAACTACCTCCGCCCCTGTTGCGACACTTGAAGAAGAACAATATATACCGATCATCAAGAAGTACAACATTAATTAATTGCTGCTAAGATAGTTACCTACTCACTCGGGCGCCAACTTTCTACGATCAAATTTAGGACAATAAAACAAGTAGTGCAACCACATGTATCCATCCAATCAACTTTTGCCAATTGAAAGTTGAGTTTGCAAACTCATGTTTTGATAATTCTCAAACATACGCGTAAAAGTCTACTAAACCCCCTAATCTAGCTAGGGTTTAGGTAATAATATCTTCTTTCACCTTTTGAATGGGACAGTAAACCCCTTTGATCTTAAATTAACAACTAGAAATTAGCTTAGTCATTAATTGCATGCATTTTTAAAATGTTAAAAGTAATCCTCAATTAATAGTATACATTATAACATGTACTTTTTTCAATAATTAAAAATTTTAAGCAATAATATTGTATAAGAACTAAAATAACATGCATCTCTTTTTTCTCCTTTAATATTTTTTAAAGATTTTCAAAACACCATTTTGCTTCATGGCATATACTATTTTAAGTGCTTCAAATTGTCCTGATCCATTTTATTATTCATATTATTTTAGATATTAAAATGATGCTTCAATTATTCAATTGTGTAAAGCATTTATTCTATTAGTTTTATTTTAAAATATAAACAATGATCGGAGTAATATCTATTACTTCAATTATTCAATTGCGTAAAGCATTTATTCTATAAGTTTTATTATGTTATGGCCGGAGTAAAGATCCTGATTCATTTACAGCATTAGAAAAACATCAAGAAGTACAACAACAACAACAACAATAATAACAAACCCAGCTTAATTTCATATGTTGGGTCCGGGGAGGGTAGTGTGTACACAGCCTTACCCCTACCCTATAAAGTCAGAGAGGTTGTTTCCAATAGACCCTCAGTCAAGGAACGGTAAAAACAAAGCAACAAGTAATAACAACAGTAATATAATATGGTAATGGAAGCGATTAACATAACAAGTAATAAAGAACTAAGAATAAATAAATACAAGAATAGTACTAGTACTACTGGTAAACCTAAGAGAAACTCACAACTACTTGTCAACCTCTCACCTTAATCATCGACCTCCACACCTTCCTATCGCTAGTCTGTCCTCGGTTAGGTGAAGCAATGACATGTCCTGCCTAATCACCTCTCCCCAATACTTCTTTGGCATACCCCTGCCCTTCCTCAAGCTCGCCATGGTCAACCTCTCACACCTCCTAACCTGGGCATCTATGTCTCTCCTCTTCACATGCCCAAACCATCGCAGCCTCAATTCCCGCAACTTGTCTTCAGTAGATGCCACTCCCACCTTGTCCCTAGTAACTTCATTCATAATCATGCCTTCCTGATATATCCACACATCCATCTCAACATCCTAATTTTAGCTACTTTCATCTTCTAGACATGAGACTTCTTGGCGGGCTAACACTCAGCTTTATACAATATAGCCGGTCTAACCACCACCTTGTACAATTTTCCCTTAAGTTTAGGCGGTACATTCTTATTGCATAAAACCCCTTAAGCAAGCCTCCATCTCATCCACCCCACTCCAATGCGGTGAATAACATCCTCGTCAATCTCCCTATTGCCATGGATTATAGACCCAAGATACTTGAAATCATTTTTTAGGAATGACTTCGGTATAAATCTTCACTTTCACTTCTTCTTCATGCCTCTCATCACTATACTTGCACTCCAAGTATTCAGTTTTTGACCTACTCAACTTGAAACCTTTGGACTCCAGCGTATGTCTCCAAACTTCTTACCTAGTGTTAACACCTCTTCGCATCTTTTCGATCAGTACTATGTCATCAGCAAATAACATACACCATGGCACCATCCCTTGTATGTATCGTGTAAGCATACCCAATGCTAGAGCAAACAAAAACGGGCTAAGGGTCGATCCCTGATGCAACCGCATCTCCACAGAAAAATATTCTGAGTCTCTTCCTGCAGTCCTCACCCGAGTCTTAGCACCTTCGTACATGTCCTTAATTACCCTAATGTACGCTACTGGGACTCCACTAACCTCTAAACATCTCCATAGCACCTCTGTAATGATCCGACCTGTCAATTTGCTTTCTAGATCCCCATCCCCCTAAATAAGACTCTCCGTATATACTTTTACTATTTTATGACTTGCGGGGATGATTAGTTCGGGATTTGGAAGGGTTCGGGTTGAAATCAGAACACTTAGTCCCTTAAGGTTGGCTAAAAGGGCTAAGTTTGACTTTGGTTAACATTTTGAGTAAACAACCTCGGAATCGGGATTTGATGATTTCAATAGATTTTTAAGATGATTTTGACTTGGACATGTGTTCGGATCGAGTTTTGGGTGACCCGGGAGCGTTTCGGCGCTTAAAGTTGAAAGTTGGTTTATTGAAAGTTTTAAAGTTCTTTAAATTTGGTTTAGAGTAGGTTTTGGTGTTATCGAGGTCTACTTGGGATTTCGAGCATGGGGATAGATCTATATGGTGATTCAAGGCTTGAACGCAAATTTGGTGTCATTTTGAGTAGTTTAAGTATGATTCGGCGTGTTCGTAGTAAGTGGGAAGAATTTGAAATTAATAAGTTGAATTTATTTGGTTTTGGGTTGTGATCTTTAGTTTTGATGTTGTTTTCCACATTTCGAGAGTGCGAGCAAGTCCGTTTTATGTTTACGAACTTGTTGGTATGTTTGATCGAGGCCTCGGGGGCCGGTACAGGATTCGGAGGGTCGACGGTGCTTGTTAGCTCTTTGGAGAGGAGCTGCTAGTGCCTGTCATCTGGTGCGTTCGCACCTGCGGTGGAATGGCCACAGAAGCGGCACCGTAGATGTGTCACCTTGCTCGCAGAAGCAGAAAGAGGAGGGGTCAATGAGATCCACAAAAGAGAAGCATTTTCCGTAGAAGCGAACTCGCATCTACGATGGAGGGGTCCGCAAATGCGGAGGAAGGTAGCCTGGCCATGGTCGCAGATGCGCGAGGCAAGCCGCAGAAGCGGGCTCGCACATGGGGGACTTGGCTGCAGATACGATGTTCTAGTGATCGAGCTTGTTCCGCAGAAGCGGACAATTGACCACAGAAGCGGAGGTCCTCCCGCAGGTGAAGAAATACTGCTGGGCAAAAGGGTTCATTTAAGTCGGGAGTTAAACAATTTTTGACTCATTTCTTTCATTTATTGGGCGATTTTGGAGAGGGGTTTTCACCTAGAAATTTGAGTTAAGGGATTTATGTACAATATGAGTTTAAAACATAGATTATTGGTAGATTTTAACTTGTAAAATTGTGAAAAATTATGGGTTTAAATGAATAACCCTAGGTTTGAAAAAAATGGGATTTACCCACGAAAATGGTTATGGGATTGGGTAAAAATTTATATTCGAGTTCGTGAGGTTATGGATAACAACTTTCTTCAAAAAATTTTGGAATCCGGGCATGTGGACCCGGGAATAAATTTTAAGAATCTTCTAATTTGGATTGGGTAATTAATCTAATAGTTACATTATGAACTTTGGAACATGTATTGATTAATTTATACAACAATTGACTAGTTTCGGATTTTTCGGCACCGAGTTGAGGCTTTAGAGCGAATTTGAGACCGGAAAACGAGCTTTAAGACAAGGTAAGTCTCTTGCCGAACCTTATAAGAGGGAATTTACCCCATAGGTGATTTAAATTGCTATTTGCTTCTAATTGTATAGGCTACATTCGCACAAGGTGACGAGAGTCTGTGAGTAGGTATTATTTATGCTTATATCCGGGTAGTTTAGGACCCAAAACATGAATTACTTGTAATGTTTGCACCCTAATTATTAATTAGAGTGCCTAAATTATATTAGAACTTGTTAAAGGAAATGTAAAAGACCGAATTTCACTTGCTTTAATTGTGAGCGAATTACTTGACCGTTAATAGAAATTGTGCTTTTTTGCGTATTAGCCTTGTAATAACTTCTAAATCGGATGTTCATAAAGTATCCTCTCTTTTTGTGGAGCGGGCCGAATGCCTCGGCAGTAGATAGATGCATCTATGGTTCATTCTGCACGACCATCGACAGTGTACACGTTATTCTGGATCAAGTCATACGTCCTCGGCATAATCGTGCGTGATAATACTTGGATTTTAATTATTTATTTGATATCATTTCATGGCTTGAGAGGTTAAGATATTATCATACAGAAAGCTATTTGATATTTAACATGTGTAAAAGAATTATTTATTTCCTGTTTTTTATTGAACTGCTGTAGTTATATACATAACCCATGCTTATTTGGAGCTTCTTTATTTTTATTGTTGGCCCAGAGTAAATGTCGATGTCGACCCCTCGTCACTACTTCTTTGAGGTTAGACTTGATACTTATTGGGTACATGTTGATTATATACTCACGCTACACTTCTGCACTGACTGTGCAGGATCTGAGGCAGGTGCATCTGGCGATCATACCGGCGTGCATTCCCATTACCCGGAGGCCTAGTGGTAAGCTGCTTCCTGAGCCGTTCCGCAGCACCCAGAGTCTCTTCTTTGCATTCATTTCTGTCTATTTTCATTTCAGACAGTAGCTAAAGTTTTGTATAATCTATTAGTGCTCATACACTTGTGACACCAGGTCTTGGCACACACTAGTAGACTTTGTGGTTTTGGATTATTACTATGGTTATGATTGCACTCAGTTGCTTTCGTTTTATTTATTTAAATCTACTATTTCTTAATCTTTTAATTAAGGAAAATTTAATTAGTTAGGAATTTATTAAAAAGAGAAATCACATGTTTAGTTCACTGTTGGCTTGCCTAGCGGCAGCGCAGGGCGCTATCACTGCCTATAAGAGAAGTGGGTCGTGACAACATGGTATTAGAGTAC